ACTAGAATCCTTATCGCCCATCAAGGATATGGAAAATGGATATCATGCCGATATAACGAAGATGACTATCCTGCCGCCGATAAGTAGTATGGGTGCGTCATATTCATCTTGCATTGATGGCAATAGCAAGACGAATAATGATCCACCACCAACAACAACTGAAATGTCCTTCAAAGAACCAAGATTTAAAATACGTACCACTTCGAGTAGTGATATGATTCTGGGTGGCGGTCCAAGGTATATTTCTCAGGTAAGTACTCTGTTTTCTGATTAATAATTTTTACAAGGAGAGACAAAGTTAACAAAAAATGGTAACATGAGAGAATTGCAATTTCAAAAAAAGAAAGAAAAACGAAAAGAAACTGGAGAGTTAAGAATATTAAAAAAATATAGAATAACAAAGTCATGGTAAGTTATTTTACAATGTTATTTTGAGTGTTAATTTTTCAGAAAAAAAAAACGAATACTTTGAGTACCACAAAAAAACATTTTTAAAATCATCGTAAACGGTAAATGTATTTTTTTTTTTTTTTTTTGTTTTTAATACTTAGGTTTCCAGAAAACAATAATGTCCAAAAATGTCATATGTCATAGGATACAAAGGAAGATCTCATATTTATGATGTCCTTCTGCCTACAGAGGTCTTCTTTAAACAGAAGGCTTTTACAGCTGTCGACAAAATGTCTATCTACAACAGATTATAGGGTGACATAAAAAAATGCAACAAAGACAAACGTCATATTTTTTACATTTTTTTTAAGTTTTTTATTGAATGAACGCAAAAAAATGTGGGAATTTTAGAATGAGTTTAGATTTGTTCGAATTGGTCAATTATGGCCTTTCAACGGCCAATGAAACCATCACACGCTGTCCGAATGTTGCTCTGCGGTATTTTGGAGCATTCCCGGCGAAGCGCTTGCTTGAGGTGAGCGATATTTTTTACTCCAGTCACAATAGTCCAACGGATTGGTATTCGGAAATTTTGGTGGCCATTGTGAGCTGGAAATGAAGCGAGGAACCACATTTTGTAACCATTCTTGCGTGGCGCGTGTTGATTGCAATGGCGTTGAGTCCTGTTGGAATGTTCAAGGTCTGCGGCCAAAATGTTTGCGTGCCGAAAGCTTTAATACACCCTCCACAATATTTTCGCGATAATATTCGGCATTTATTCTGATGCCACGTTCCACTAATACGAGCGGAGAGCGACGGTCGGCTGCTATACCGGCCCACACCATCACCATGGTCGCCGCTTGAGTTCTGGTGGCCAACCGAAGGAGTACATTTTCAGCTGACCTCTTTGGAAACTAAACACGATCATATTTTTTGTTTGCAAACCGATGTAAAACGAATTTTTTCTCATCGGAGAAAACCAAATTCGACAGTTCACCACTTTCGGCAAAGCGAAGCAACTCTTTAGCTCTTTTGAGTCTATTTTCTTTCTGTTGCGGTGTATGTTCTTGCACTCTTTGGAATTTCAATGGCTTTACTTCGAGGTCATTTTTCAATATTTGCCGAATGGAATATTGCGAAATATTCGAAAAGTTTGTTTTACTTTTCAAACCATTTCTGCTGATGTTGCTGTTTTCTTCCGTCCACTTCCTTAACGTCGGGCTACCCTACCAGTATCACGGTAACGGGCGATGGTACGAGACACAAAATTTAATTGGTGGAGCTCTAACGATAGCCACGTGTTGTTTTCCAACCAAATATAAAGAAATTACACTATCACGCTTGAAGTCAATCACAAGTAACTTTTTTCTGGAAAATTCTCACCAAAATGCTTTTGTACGCTGGTAAGCAATATAATGAACTGTCACTGGAATAATTTTAACAGCTGTCGGGCGAGTGGCTCAGAAATGACAGCAGTCTGAAATTGGTTGCAGTATTTTCATCTCACCTTGTAGTGGAGCGCTCCTCTACCTGTAAACAACCTATTGTGAGGTCTTTGATATAAAAGACCATCTCTTCACTCCATAGAATAGTAGTGGAGCGCTCCTCTACCTGTAAACAACCTATTGTGAGGTCTATGATATAAAAGACCATCTCTTCTCTCCATAGAATAACTGTCGACAAATCTTATACGGAAAGAAAAACTATTGAAAGGAATTCATTCTTAAAAAAGAACTGTCGATACATCTTTAATTTATGGAGTATTTTTGACAGATCTTTAAAGAAAAGAGTCAATGTTATCCATTTCGTATCTGACCTAAGTCTAATATAAATGTAGCAAATTTGGACTGCACTGACTACTTTATTCGCCTTTATATGAGATGTGTAATAATTTTTATACCCACAAGGTGGTCAGAGTATTATGTCTTTGTGCATTTGTTTGTAACAGGCAAAAGGGGTGGGTACAAGATGGATCGAACCGATAAATTCTATATTAACATCAGATTTCTAGTTACCAAGTATTAAAAGAATCGCTTAATCGTTACGCAAATTATAGATAGATATAGGTATTGAAAATTGTGACTCATGTGGGGGATGTACCAAAATGGATGGGCCGATATCTATCATCTTCACTCCAGATCTTGTGTTAATAGAAATATAGCGATGTGTGAAATTTGAAGGAAATCGGACTCTTAAATCCCATTTATGAGCGTGTTGGTTATTTATAAGGTTGACCCGTTGTGGCGAAGGTACTAGGATTGAGTCTACATCTCCCATCTTCTTTTGATCTGTTTTAGGGGGGTGGTCAAAATGTGTGGTTTGACATATTCCATCTTCACACCCGATCTTGCGTTAATAAAAAAATGGTAAGTGTGAAATTTAAATAGAATCGAATGCTCATTTCGTATTTTATAAAGTTATAATAATTAAAAATGTTGACCCTTTTTGTGGGAGCTACATGATGGAGTGGGTCGATATTGTGATGTAAACATTGGAAGTGTTGACCTTTTGTGGGGGAGGTACCAGAAGGAGTGTACTGATGTTGCCCATCTCCGACTGATGTTGCTCAATTCGAGAAGGAGACAGACGGACACCCTTAGATCGACCAAAAATGTCCTGAAACGGATTTGGTCCAAAAGAGGACTAGTGCCTAAAACCGTTATTTCGATGAGGCACGCTTTTGTCATATCAAATAATATATAGGGTGAGATGAAAGCTCTGCAACTAACCTCAGACTGCTGTCATTTCTAACCCACTCGTCCGACAGCTGTTACAATTATTCCAGTGGCAGCCCATTATATATTATTTTGGTGAGAATTTTTCAGAAAAAAGTTGGAAGGAAGTGTTGGTATTCAAGCGTGATAGAGTGATTCCTTTATATTTGGCTGGAAAACCACAAGTGGCTATCGTTAGAGCACTCTAGCATTTAAATGTGAAAAAATCTTTTGTTTCTCATACCGTCGCTCGTTACAGTGATACTGTTAGCGTAGCCCGACGTCAAGGAGTTGGACGTAAGAAAACAGCAACATCAGCAGAAATGTTTCGAAAAGTAAAGAAACGACTTGATCGAAACCCGCGTCGCAGTAGCCAAAAAATGGATCGTGAGCTGAACATATCGTAATATTCCATTCGGCAAATATTGAAAAATGACCTCATGGTAAAGCCATTGAAATTCCAAAAAGGGCAAGAACTTACACGGCAACGGAAAGAAAATAGACTGAAAAGAGATAAAGAGTTGCTTCGCTTGGCCGAAAGTGGTGAACTGCCGAATTTGGTTTTCTCCAATGAGAAAACATTCGTTGTCCAGCAGTTTGTAAACAAACAAAATTATCGTGTTTACTTGCCAAAGAGGTTCGCTGAAAATGTGCACCTTCGGTTGGCCACCAGAACTCAAACACTGGCCATCGTGATGGTGTGGGCCGCCATAACAGCCGATGGTCGCTCTTTGTACCCTGTATGTATATCCTATGTATTCATGTATCTGAGGGTATATATTTTAGCAGAGGTATTAATTTCTAACTTTTTTGTTTTCTCTCTCTTATGTTGAAAAAAGTTGAAATATCAAACCAATCAGATATAAATACGGAAACATATTTCATATTTCAATTGATTTCCTCCAAAATGGATAGACTTACTTCTAGTGTAGCAAAATACTGACTGAGCCGATGCACGTTGTGACCCGTACTTTAAGTGTTCTATGCATAACCAATCTATTGGCTTTCTATTTGAAAACAACCCTATGTTTTGCTAAAAACATTTGACTTCCGACTGTTGAATATATATATATACAAATCTCTGTTACAAATCATGCCCTGTTTACAAATCATGCCCATATAATGCTACCACCTACCAATCATCATTTTATTTTCATTATTTGAAAACTTTTGCAGCAAACATTTATTAAACATTGGCTCTCAATTGGGCCTCCATGTCTTCAATCTGCACGCAAGTACCCATTTCCGAAATCACCATCATATGTGAAACTTATTTTCCAATCTTGATTCTCATACCAAAATGAACGAATGACAAGTTTTTAGTTCTGTCCGTTTACATAACAGCAAGTGGTGCTATTTCAGAAGTTAGGTATTATTTTAAATTTTTTCGTAACCTTAAAATTCGTATTTCCCTTGATACGTCTATTTTGTACTGTATCAGTGACTATAATTTCAAAATGTTAGCTCAAAAATGAATTCTAGTTCACTCCGTTTTCTCAATAAAATTATTCAATTAAATGTATATTTTAGTACTTTTCGGTTCCCGTTTAGTACGTATTTCCAAAAACCCAGCTATATCATAAGCCTAGGCACCAAGACTGGCCCTCGTGCTGGGCGTTGATTCCCAGTCAGTTAGTTATTTCACTACTCTTATATATATGAATAGATTCTAACGGTACGTATTAGACGGAATGCCGACTGAAAATTGCTAACCTGTTGTATACTCACTTCATGAAAATATTTCTCACCGAAATACGTAATGTGTCTTGACTTTCATTTCAAATGATAACGGCTACGACACAGTGTTGTATTTCGTACAATACAACTTTTGTGTTTCGTTTGAAACATGTGTCCGACGAAAGCTTTTATCTACAATTGTGGAGAAAAATTCTCCTCAGAGAGCGTTTCGGTGAGCGAGAAGAGAATGTGCAACAACAAAATGCAAAGTGGTGAAATACCTAAGACACGAATATGCCGACAACATCGTATCTAAAAAATCAGTCGACCAGCAATATTATTTGGAAACATAGCAAACACACGATTTGCAAAATACAACGGACAGAGCGATTGAGTTGTGACGCCGCGTCGTCCGTCTATGTCGTGCGAAAATAAAAAATAAAAGGGAATTTCAATTGCGATTATTAATTCGAAAAAGAAGAAGAAACAACAAATACGCCGAGAGTGAATTAAATAATAACAATAGAAGTGAAAATAATTAACAAAAGTAATAACAACAACGGCAAGTCTCAGCGACTCGTTGTGTGTGGTGTAATAAGGCTAAAGCCAATCATCCAGCCAGCCCACCATACCATTGCGTATGAGGCGATAATTGTACGGATTAAAGTGCACAAAAATATTTTAAAAGAATTAACCAACGTCAAACATAATATTAAAAAAAAAAATACTGAATAAAAGCAAAGAGAAAAATATTCAGCCAAGCAAACAACGTGAATGTCTGTGCTCAGAGTTTGAAAGAAAGTTAAAACAAACCACGAGAAAGAAAATAACGTGAAACCAGAACACGTCGTGTAAATTCCAACAACACAACGAAACCCAAAAGGTAGTGACAAAAGAAATTGGTTTTTGTGTTATTCTTCTTTGACAAAAAAAAGAAATGAAAGAAAAAAGCCAAAATAAACCGTGTGTCAGAACAAAAAGCGCAACATATGTGAAGTTTTTTTTTTTTTCATACCAAGCAATGCAAACTCAAAGAGAGAAGTTGGTGTGAAAAAAAAGAGAGAAAAATAATTCGAAAACATGGCCTTTTGTTTAATTAAACTTCATGTGTTTTTTCCCAAAAACAAAAATCAGCAAAAAAGTTCCTCAATTCTATTCGTTTTAATATAAATCGCGCGAGTGTTGTCAAGGTGTTGTTGCTTGCGTTCATATTGAATGGACATGTGTTTGTGTGCGTGCGTGTGTGTGCCACCATGTCTACGCTCTTTTTTCTGTTGGCTATGGATTTTTCATATGCCAAATTCCATGTATGGTTGAATGATGTGGTTTTGTTCTCCTTTGTTATGATATGTGTGTGTGTGTGTGTGCGATTTAAGTCGAAAGAGAGCTTTGCAATGTTTCAATCAAATTTCATTTTGGTTTCTTCTTTGTTTCATTTGTTTTTTTGCATAAAATTACTTTGAAGTGACACACTTATTTACATAAAAAAGTCGAAGAAACAGCAAAACAAGAGGGGAAATGATTCTAAAAAGAGAATACAAATGTTATTGGCATCAACAACAATGCACAATACTGTGGTGTGTGGTGAAGTTTGCAAAAAGACCTCAATGTTGTTGGCTCTCCTTTTCGCTCATCCAAGCTTATTTTAATGCTCCGTCACAGTGATGTCAATACGTGTAAACGAAAAAAACGCAATTTTATTAAAAAAGCCAGAATTAACGTCGATGATTGATAACTGCATATTATAATTTCCTGCACATTTCATTTATTAATGAAAAACTTATCTACCCCACTACCTGTATCAAATATACGTTTATACATGTGTGAGGTAAATCAAAAAAATCATTTAGTGGTTATTACGGTTTCAGAGCGCCTCAAATTTGAAAGCGGATAGAATCAATGGAACAACTTGACAGGTTTAGTAAAAACTCTTCGGTTTTTTCGAAATTTTTCCCACAGGTTAATATTTTTAACCTTATTCCCGGGACCCCAGATTTTTGACCCGAAAGTGCGAATTGCAGACCCTAATATAGACAATATAGAAATCAGTGGAAAGCTTATGAAACCTGCCTAACGCACAAGTTGTCACATGATGCGGTTATTTTTTAAAGATTAAATATATACTTACATATTGACAGTTGTTGTACAATAAATTTGACCAACCGAATTTAATAAAAAGCGTGTTTTTTTTAGTTATAAAACTAAACTAACTCTGGACCCAGAAAAAATATTAGCACAAATTGTAGGAATTTGCAGAGGCAAGAGTATCAGCTATATCATGAATTTTCCGAACGCTACAAAAACTCCATCGTGTGACCATTTGTTGGATAGGCATTTCTATATCCCGGGTTCGTCCCCTTTATTATTTCGAAAATATCCATTTATTAGAGGTAGAAATAAATAGAGATTTTGTTTTAGCTATAACCTTTTTGGCAGCAACCTTTTAAACAGCTCAAGCACGTTTCGCATTTTTTCTCATTGTCAATTATCTTTAGTTTGGTCTATAATTTAACGATGATTCGTCTTGCAAACGAACACCGCTTGCAAATCACTGCATTTTATTATCAAAAGGCGTGTTCTGTTAAGAAAGTCCTGATTTTGTGATTGTTACTTAGCTACGATGCTCACGTTTGGCTCGATGGTAAATAAGCAGTAGTTAAGTTCAGACAGAAGCATTGCAAAAGCTACCAATGCATTCAGAAAAAGTCACAGTTTGGTGAGGTTTATGGTCTGGTGGCATAAATGGACCTTCTTCAAATATGTTGCGAATCGCAACGTAACTGTAAATTGTGAGCGCTACCGTGAGATTATATCCCTCCTATTTTGTATAAAAGGCAAAGGCTTCACTTGCGTCACATGTGGCTTCAACAAACGGGGCCACATGTCATGCAGCTCGCGTAAAAGAGGTAAATTCGGTGACCATTTCATTTCACATTCATAATCGGCCTTATATACAGATTATTTTAAAGTTCATTTCTAGAAGTGCACACTTTAATTGACGCATTCGAAGACAAATTCGAAATTTGAAAAAAGTCACGGTCAACATAAAAACTAACTATCAATTCAAATAAAGATTTAATGCAATTTTTATAAGTTTCCTGCAGCTCCTAAAATATAACCTTAATATACGGGCTATATCTAAATTTCTGCAGGATTTTTTGGAGTCTCAGATGGCGATTATTTTATTTTATAGCACGGATTTGTTCATTTTCACGGAACTTGCTCGCGAACAGTATAGTTCGAAGAGTGGGAGTTTTTAGGAAGAGTGAGAAAGAATGGAAGAACGTGAAGGGGGGTGCGATTGTGTGAAGAAAATATACACATACATAGAAATACAACAGAGCTATGACAGAAATTAAAAGAATTTTGCTCCCCCACAAAAACTAAGGAAACTCCTATTCATGAACATCCAAAATTTAAGTTAACTCTATGTTTACCTATGTTCCCAGGAGCGCTCCCGCTCGAATTCGAATGAATATCACCGAAGGTTTCACTGTTATCTACATTCTGGTTATTGCTCGAAAATGTTTCGAATCCTACATATTGTTTCGAATCCAACAAAACCCTCAGGGTTGTGTTAATTTACCCAGCATGAGTTACGGAAAATTGTTTTTAAAACCAATTCTTAAAATTGAATCAAGATACCTGATACAATCAGTACAGACAGTTCCACGCTATTTGCTTGGATAAAACATATTTCGCATTACAAATCTCTGTCCAAAAACTAAAGTTGGCATCACTAAACTCCGTTATTGTTCAACACTCTCTCTTTCTCCCTCTCTGTTTCACAAAGATTTCCTCGTGTTTTTAACCTACATGTGTGTGAGTGAGTATGTGTGTGGTCGATGTGAGCGAACAAATGCCTTCCTTCCTACCTTGCCCATATTGTGGAAAGTAAAACATTCCATGAAATTCTAATTTTTTAATAAATCTGATTTGAATCAAGTAAAAAAGGAGCAATTTGCATAAACGAGAGACCAAACTAACCACAATATATTTTTATTTCACATGGTTAACTACTTATCTAATTAAAAAAAAATATTTTCCAATTTGTAGAGTAGAAAATAAATGGAATTTTTTAATATGTGAATTTCTTTTGAAATATTGCAAAAATAAAAGGAATAATTAAGACAAACTTTTGACCAATTTGAAAAAATAACAATAAGAGAAATAATATTTTGCAGACAATTTTTTCTCTGCATTGTTTTGTTTTCATTCCCTTCCGGACCTCCCTCAACAAATCAACCCCGATCAACCAATTGACTTCGATTTAATTTTGTTTAGAATTAGCGTGTGGAATAATGCAAAACAAAGAAAGTTTCCAACAACAACGGCAATAACAAAAAACTTTTTTTATTATTTCTGGTATGACGAAAATTGAGCAGACAATGGTGCAACAACACAACCATCATCCCATCACAACACGAGTTTGACTCATAATAACACGACCAACGAACGGAAGCAACAACAACAGCAGCGACGACAAAGAAAATAATATCAACAACACCAATGGCGCAGAGCAACATTATTCTCGAGAGTTTTTTCATTTCAAGTGAATCATTTGATTTTGGCGTTTTGTGATTCTACTTTATTCTTAACCCATTGGGGTAAAAGGTTGGTAGCTTTTCGGTTGGAAGTTCATTAAATGTCAAATAGGTAACCAATGTTCCGGTATTTAATTTATATCAAATGAATTATAGATTCAAACTTTACATTTCCATAACTGTTTTGTTCTAAATATGGATCATGGTCGAATATATAGAAGAGTTCCGGTTATAGAGTTCCAAGTTGAGGACAAAAATCTAAATATTAGTCCTCTCATGCCTATACATAAAACAAGTTCTCTTAACTATTTCGACGATTTTCGGTCCATTTTTCAACGGAATTGTCTGGAATTTTGAACTTGTAGTTTGTTAGGGGTTCTTAAGCACCTTGCAAAAACAGTTAATATATGTCCATGTCTCCCATATAATGCCATCCTATACTCGGTATTCTGATGGATTTCTAAAATTGTTTTTTAGAAGAATTTTCTGAAATTTTGTATTTGAAGTTTCTAATGGATGTAATAAATAAAACCCTGAAGATCTCCATTGCTCAAACATTGATGCATTTCTGTTAGATGAGTCCTACATTCGAGCGCTTGACGTACAGAAATGTTTGCCAATCATATCTTGCCAAACCCCCAAAATTTAATTGGAAGTGAAATGTCATAGAAATATTTTTACCGTCAAACAGAGGCAGTCTTGGTGTACGCAGACATAAATCGAAGTATCAGACTAACGTCTTTGTCGGCCTGTAAAGTTTTATACAAAATTCGACCACCGGTGTTTCCCACATAACCTCCCCACGCATTTAGGTGTTTCCTTAGTGTTATATGTGTCGAAAACCTTAAAATGTCCTGTTCCTGAAACTACAGTGAAACCTTCCACTTTTCGAGCCAGCGTCTTTTATTTTACTGAACATTTCTCTTTGAATTTGGAGAAATTACAGATAAAGGGCCCACTGTACAAAAACTAAGAATGTTGGTCATTTTATTCTAAATTTGGTAAAATTTTTGTAAAATTCCTTAATACAATAATGTTTTTGCTCGTTATTTCCAAATGTTCGGACTTAACTTCCCGACACCTATATATGAGATACGCCTCAATACCGCTTCATTTTTCAGTTTCCGTGCAATAGATCCTTTATTCTGTAATTTCCCTTAGGTAAAGCGATACAATTTTAGAAAATTGCGAAAATTCCTAAGTCAGAAGTTCTTTTTACTTATAAGTTTCAAACATTCAAAACATGATCCCTTGACTTTTCATTTATACCTACTTTTACTCAATTTAGGAATGGTTCCAACTTTTTCTAGATATTTTTTCCACTTTCGATTTTTAGATATTGTGTCTTAAATGATTTGATGTTAGGTTATAATTTACTTTTCGTTTTGTTTAAAATGTATGCCTCTTCCTCCCGATCTTTACCATTTTAAGCCTTTTTTAAAAACGACTAAAATTCGGGTGGTTTATGCCTTTGCTACAAAATTTTTAAATATACCACATACAACATTCATAAAAATAAATAATTTACAAACAAATTGAATCGAAAATCGTTGACTCCATTCGTTTTATATATGATTTATCATAAGTACTGAGAAAGGAAGGTGATGAAACGTTGGAGCAGTTTCTCCAGATGAGACCTTAATCAGATCATGGTAAATGAAATAAAATAGTTAAAGAATTTTGCTAAGTTGTTAAGTTTGTTGTTTTATCAACCTAACCTAACCTTCAAGGCAACATTGTCCTTCTTACTATTAACTATGTTATTGATTTCTTCACAAAAAAAGGTTTTAAATTAAAGGTGTCAGTATTTTTGTGTTTGTGTTTGTGTTTATGTTTTAACCGCATAGATGTTTAATCAATATTATGGACTTCCGTATTTTTGTTTACCTAGTTTCATTCCTCACAATGAGTTTACTTTTTACATATGCCCAAATGCGATCCAGCTATGAGTTTCACAATGTGTCAAAATGTCAACAACATATGGGAGGTTATTTTGTTTTTAATATATAATCGAAGTGACTTTTTTAATGCATGCACACCACCACTACCTCAGGCAAATCACGCACTTTGGAACTCTGGGTTACTTGGTAGTCAGAGATGGGAATTTAGTATTGTAGAACAACACGTAGATATTTCATAGAATTGAAACTTCTACAGTTGATACCCTCCACCATTTGAAAAGTAAAACTTTTGAAAATATTTATATTTGAACTGTGTGTGTCTCGACTCACATATCATTGCTATCCACCTCTTTCCAAAAATTTGCATACCGTATCGAGGGAAATATGTATGGGACTTTGGTGGACTTACATATATGATCGGATATATATATATACAGGGTGTAATAAAAAAACGACAACAATATTAAACGCCATAATTAAAATTAGAATATGTAAGAAATAGCATCAATTTTTAGAATATGTTTAGAATTTTTCGAATTGTGCCCTTTGGCAAGAATTATGGCCTTCATACGGCCAATGAAACCGCCATATGCTGCCCGAAAGTTGCTCTGCGGTACTTTGGCCCTTTCCTGGCGAAGCGCTTGCTTGAGGTGATCGACACTTTGGTATTTTTTAGCGCCAACCTTGCTTTCCAAAATACTCCAGACACAATAGTCCAACGGACTGATATCCGTAAATTTTGGTGGCCATTATGCGCTGGAAAAGAAGCGAAGAACCTCATTTTGCAACCTCTCTTGCGTAGCGCGTGCGATGGTGCTGAGTCCTGTTGGAATGTCCAAGGTATGCGGCCAAAATGCTTGCGTGCCCAAGGCTTTAATACACCATCCAGAATATTTTCACAATCATATTCTGCATTTATTTTGATGCCACGGTCGATTAATACGAGCGGAGAGCGACCATCGGCTGTTGTGGCGGCCCACACCATCACCATGGCCGACGCTTGAATTCTGGTGGCCAACCGAAGGTGTACATTTTCAGCTGACCGCTTTGGCAAGTAAACACGATCATTTGGTTTGTTTACAAACTGCTGGACAACGAATTTTTTCTCATCGGAGAAAACCAAACTCGACAGTTCACCACTTTCGGCAAAGCGAAGCAACTCTTTAGCTCTTTTGAGTTTATTTTCTTTCTATTGCGGTGTATGTTCTTGCACTCTTTGGAATTTCAATGGCTTTACCCCGAGCTCATTTTTCAATATTTGCCGAATGGAATATTGCGAAATATTCGAAACGTATGTTTTACTTTTCGAACTATTTCTGCTAATGTTGCTGTTTTTTTCCGTCCACTTCCTTGACGTCGGACTATGATAGATTTAAAGATTTATTCACATTTAAATGCTTGAGTGCTCTAACGATAGCCACTTGTGGTTTTCCAGCCGAATATAAATAAATCACACTAAAAATACATGAGCAGACGGAGGGAAATGTGAAAATGTAATTCTATGAAGATCATCAAAAGGCACTATGGGTATATTTGATTTCTTTTCTGGCTCTTGGTAGAAGTTTAGTAAACATGTACTTCGTATTACATAGCCAAGTTAAAATAAGAGGTTAGCAAAAATGTGCCACAATGTTAACCCATAATTTGGTTATGAGAGTTTTTTTTTCTGGAATACACTACATCCTCTCCTTAAACAAAAATATATTGAAAAAGTTCTACAGCACTGAACTTCCCAACCCTGGCCATGAGTAGCTTGAACTAATAAATTATTTTGCTTCATTTTTTTCTCAACTCATTCTTTTCTTCGCTCTCTGAGTTTGTCGAAAACAAGGTCTACGACTTTGTAAGGTAAAGCTTTGGTCTATTTATAAAAAAATGTGGTTGCGATAAAGGGCGCGAAATTGAACAATAAACTGAAATATATTTAAGTTCATTGAAATATTAATAAAATGTAAAAAATGACATATATATATATATATATTTGAGTCTATTTATATATATATATATATATATATATATATATATATAAAATAATTTTTTTTTTACCAAAATTGTTATCTTTGACGTTTGACATCGTAAAATCCTCTTTTCTGAACGCACCACCCTTCCACACTTCTAGCCTAAAACACAACAAATATCGTTTTTTTTGTTTGCCAAACGAAAAACCCGTTCAGATTGTTTTTTTATTGTTTGAATTTGCACAGAGAGTGCAAATTATCAAAATCAAGTTCAAGGACGTCGAATAACACAAATACCTCCCTACCAAGAAAAAAAAACGTAAACAGTGGAAAATATAAAAAAATTCAAAAAAAAAAATACAATAAATTTGTTAACTAAATCGATGAGGCTTTTTGCTTCGATAAAAAAATAAATTAACGTGATTTAAAAATATACCTTAACAAATAAAAAAATTAACCAGAATAAAAAAAATAATTTATCTTTTAATGAATTTTGGCAATTGCCGAAATATTCCATTTATCTACCACTATATTGTGCAGAATTACGTTTGCATTGGTTGTTGTTTCTTAATTGTGTTTTTTGTTTTCCTTTCCATTTTTTTTTTAATTTCCGTGTGAAAAAAAAATAATTTTTCCACAGAATTATAAGAAAAAAGTTTTTCCTCAAAAGAACAAAGAGAAAGTTGAAGAAAAAAAAACTTAACAACGCAATTTCTTGACTTGTGTATATCCTACTTTCTTATGCCTTCGGCAATATAAAAGTGAAAAACGTCAGCTACAACAACAACAACATCAGCAGTAACAGCATCCAACAGCCGTGCAGCTATCATCACCGCCAACAACTCACCTCTTTGGCCCCATCGCTTAACAATTTCTTTCCTGTCAATCGAAAGAAAAAAAGAGTTCAACAACTGCCGCTGCTGCTGCTTTCCAAATCTTTTAGCCAGCGATTCAACGTATTCTTCTTCAAGGCAACAAGGTAAGTGAACTCTTGTATATTTTTATTATAGCCATACTTTTTCATGCCCACACTAAGGTTAAAGGTCATAACGCCAACCATCAGATAAATCTTATTTTACTGCGCAATTGAATGTTACCCGACAAGGACAATGACAAATACCACATTTATTAAATATTCATTGCATGCGGAGAAGCCCTTTCCCCCAATATTTAAAACTTGTCGTCTCAAATTGTGCATTATCGACGTTTTTTATATGTTTGGCGTCGTAATTTGGTAAGCACATGTGTCGCATACATCACTACTAGTAATGACACCTACCTTCCCAACTGCATTACCAGAAAGCATAAAAATAATGTCAACTGCACATTACAATAGTTATTTTGGGAAAAAGTGTAGGCGTCCGATAACTAAAAATAGGGTCACTGGCTTAAATCTTCGTTGCGGGAAACTTAAGAAATAATTGCTCTTTCTCCCTTTAGCTCTGCCGGGATAACGAGGGCTAAGTGGAAAGCTCATGGGGTTTTTTGAAAGGCCCAATTGTCCAAAGTGTTAGGCTTTGCCCAGTGACATAGAGAAACGAAACAAACACATCGAAGAGCATAGTAGCCAATATGTACCAAAAATCGAAATCAACGTAATTTCAACAAGTAATAAGAAAAAAACAATGCTCCTAAATTAAACGACACAAATTCCCGACGAGGACGAATTACTATAGTGGAGTTTGCGGTAGGGAAACTTCATGGAAAATGCTGAATTGCACAAAAACTTTGACAGCAGCGTTATTGGGGCGGGGCTCAAATAAAAGGTCTCAAAGTACTTGAGACCTTTCATTTGAGTCTCGAGCAATTCAGCATTTTCCATTCAGTTTCCGTACCGCAAACTCCACTTTGGTTAGAAAGTCGGAAGACATCGATTATCTGAAATTATTTGGAAATATAAGGCATATATACTCAGAAAGTACTTTTCGAGACCTTTCATTTGAGCTCGCCTCAATAACGCAGCTATCATAGTTTTTGTGCAGTTCAGCATTTTTCATACTGTTTCCCTACTGCCAACCCCACTCGCTTCGCTATTCGATCACTCCCGTTGCGAATCTATGGCATGCATCCTATATAACGGTCTTCCGAATATTCGGTATTTGGATTATTTAAGCCATATTTTTCAGTGGAATTGTATCAAATTTGTTATTTGATGACTGAAAATTGTCCACATATGGGTCCAGGAATTTCCGAATTAAAACCAGTATAGAAAGTCGGGCGGGTCCGACTTTATGATACCCTACACAACTTTGCTAATTTAGTAGAGCTCCACATAACAATTAAAAGTTTTCATGGGAGAATTCAATCATACACTCTATGATTGTAATTATAATTTAAAGTTCAAAAGACTAAATATGCCAAAGCATTTGTATCTTTTAAATTCGGACATGTATTGCCCATTTGATATATATATGGGAGCTATATCCAAATCTGAACCGATCCGATGATAAAATTTGGCAAAGATATTTCTGAACTGTATTTCATATGTTTCCCTGAATATCGTTGCTGTGGGTAACAAATATAAAAAAATCGGATGAACAATATATATGGGAGCTATAGCTATATCTGAACCGATCTTCACAAAATTTGACATACTAGATTCTAGACTCAATTTTGTCGTAAGTGCCAGATTCCATCCCATTTGACAAATATTAGACGTTTGGTGCACAATAAAAGGTAAATCGGACGAAGTTATATATGGGACATATATCCAAATCCGAACCGATCTCGATAAAATTTAGCAAAGCTATTTCTGCGCTGTACTTGATATATTTCCCCAAATATTGTTGTTACAGGGTGCATATTACGGCTGCGGAGGACAAAAATAACAAATCGGATGAACAATATATATTGGAGCTATAGCTATATCTGAACCGATTTCGATCAAATTTGGCATACTTATTTTCAGGCGTAATTTGGTTGTATGTGCAAAATTCCATACTATTCGGGCTGATATTACACGTTTGGTTCACAATAAAAGGCAAATCGGACGAAGATATATATGGGAGCTATATCTAAATTTTAACCGATTATCTCCAATTTAAATAGGGTTCGTCCTTGGGCCAAACAAATGGTTTCATCTGGATAGGGTAATAAATGCGAACTGTACTTTGTTCACAAAAATACATGGACAGACGGACGGTCATGCATAAATCAAATCAGAATGTGATTCTATGCAGATCATCAAAAGGAACTATGGGTCTATCTCGTTTCCTTTTGCCTGTTACAAACAAATGCACAAAGACATAATACCCTGACCATCTTGTGGTGTAGGGTATTAAGATTACTACACATAAAGTAATGTTAGTACATAGACAATTATTTGCAAAGAGGTTACTTGAAATCAAGGGTTCGATACAGTTTTAAAAAAAAAAAAAAAAAATAAATAAATATAGGGGTACAAGTTTTCCACCCACTTCCACACTTTTGGATATTTTCGATATGTAGCGTCTTCGCAATATTGCGGATAAAAATACGAGGAACATTTTGGTTATCAATTTTAACCCTCAAGCGAGTCAACAAAGGAGTTTTTTGATTGGACTGTAGAACGTTTTTGATGTGGTTCTCATATAACCATACATCCTGATTTTCGATATTTCAAATCAACTGTGTTTTATTGCGTAGTTTGACTCCTGTCAAACCCTAATAGGTATGGATCCCATTATCGCTACCTCATGATTATGGGTGTTTCGAAGTTTTTGGTTCTAATTCCCAAGGAAGTTATTTATGATTTGAAATTATCTAAGTGTATAATTTAACTTATCTTTAAATTATTCCATATAGGTCCACTTTAAGGTATAGTCTACACATAAGAGTACTTTCTGATTTTCGACATTTTAAATGTATCGGTAATAATTTCCAATTAAATCAACTGAATTAGTATTATTATTATTTTTTTTAATCATCGGAATTATAATATTTTGGATTCCCAAAAGTACCTCCAGTCATATGGCTACAGAGAATATCTTTGGACGAAACTCAAAATATGTTTACGTTTTGGTACAGTCCTTATTTAAAGAAAACCTCTGAGTTTAGTTATTGGGGAAGCTTTGCCACATTTCCCAATGCTTGGGACGCAATCCTGTATTATTTTAGTACACACACACTCTGTTCCACGGTCACAAATTTTCTGGTAATAAGAAGAGTAATTTGTTATGGAATGTTTTATTATTTTCCATCTACTGGTAATGCATAAGACAGTTTAGTGACATTACTATGTAATGAGTTGCACAACTCATATGGCTTACAAATTGTTGTCCTGAGTACAGTCACCGGGTCATCTTAAGCCATTTTTACACAAAAGATTTTTTTCAATTTTTGGTATTCTCGAAGTTGTGACTTCCAAATTACAGCCTCTGACTTTTCAAAATTCAATATTAAAAACGTTGGCAATCTAACATTTTTGTACGCTATTTCACCTAATTTCCATTTACAAAAAAAAAAAAAAAACGGATATGGCTCTCGGTTATAATTATCTTCATTTCTCTTTGTTATCATTTATTTGTGTTTTGATTCTTCTTCCAACACAAGTCCATACTAAATATTCATCATACATTAATTATAGATAGTGTTATGTTGGCCTAAGGTTTAGACCGAACCAATGGTCCAATGTTGGATGCCAAATTATAATAATTTTGTTTTATTTCTGTTTTCTATTCATTTTCAGATTTCGCTTAGTTAGCTACTTCGAGCTACCTTTTTTTTTTGGAGATACATATTTTTTCTGCAGATTTCACGCAAAAACCTATAAGAATACATTCACAAACGAAGAGGAAAAAACTGCGACACTAACGCTCGGGGCCATTTAGTTGGCTGGCCAACAAACGAGGTCATTATCGAATACATTAAGCAGCGAAAAACGCAGCAACATTAGCAAACAGCTAGAAAACGTCTTTTGAAGCGTCTTTAGGAAGTTCAAGTTTGTCAAGTGCAAAACCCAAAACAGCAACAACAAATTGCGTATCTTTTGAGACAAAGAAATTGCAATTGCCACGGAGGCGGTGGCAAAAAAACAAAAAACAAAACAAATTCCACAGAGCAGCCAAACAAGGAGAAGACGTCGACCACCACAGCGTTATTGAACTGTTGAAAAGCATCAGAAGCGAGTCGGTTCTTGCATTCATTGTCAAAGCAAACGAAAAACGGCTGCTGCTGGACTGTAATAACACGGCAATTGCAGGAACAGGAGGTGGAGGCGGCGGCGGCGGCGGGTAGGAGGTGGGGTTGTTTGTGCATATCTTTCCTTGCCGTTGGTGTGATCTCCCGCCTACACGAACAAATTTGTGTTGTTACAACAGATTAATTGTTTTTGTTGGACCAAAAACAGCAACAAACACAACCATAATACATATTTGCATATAATTGACCAAGAAAATCGTTTTAATCATCATCAGCAGCATCGTCACCTCCATACACCCCAAGCCACCTTCTCGTCAAGAAACTTTTCTCCTCGTCATCTGCCTCTCATTTATTAAACACCCTCGCCTTGTCATCATTATTTTCATTATCTAAAAATGATTTCGAATAAAAAATCCTATGCCATGAAAATGCTGCAACTGGCTTTGGCCCTCAGCCTTTTGCATGTCAATCCCGATGATTATCTGCAACAAAGACTGCGTAACTGGGACTCCCAGCTGGAGCTAAGGGATGGCGATGGCTGGGAGCTGGAAATGTTAAGGGCTGTGCCCATGGTCGAATATCCCTATGCCAACCGCAAATCCATGATGCCCCTCATTGAAGATCTCATGCTCTACGATCACAGTTTGGCCAATACGCAGTACAATGTGACCGCCTATTTGCTGAACGTCTCCAATGAAAGTGCAAATCAAACGGCGGCCATGCAAGAAATGCAAGCCATACCTCCACCGTCGAGCGCCACTACCACAGGTGGGAGTTCGTCAAATTCTCCCACCTCATCATCGTCGCCGTCGTCAGGTGGTTCGTTAACATTAGAAAATGTTCGAAACGGCACAACGGCCACAGTTAGTTCCATAGTCCATGCCGCAGGAAGTTCGAATTCCTCAAACCTACACAACCTTCCAACACCGGAAATTGAGCTATTTCTCAACTCGGAATCAATGCAAGATCAACGCTCGGTATGGGAACAAAATCTGGCAGATCTCAACGATTTCAATGATCTGCCGATTATGAATAGCCATTATGGCAATCTACCTCTAAAAGATGGCCAGCAACAGGATCCATCGGGCCATTTTGATTTACCTCATTTGGACGTGTTTCTACCGACCTTTGGTAGTTCCGCAAATGCTTTAAATTCCGAGGCGGAGGGAGCAGTGGCCTTGAATGGTAGTTTTCCAAATCCTGATGACGCAGTTGGCATTAAACTGGAACAACTGGACGATGAAGATGACAAGGCTCTGTTGGTAGGTGTTATGGATACACGAGCCGCCACTTGTTCCACACTGTCGCCAGATCCAACGGATATTGCCGTAGATGCTTGCATCAAAAAGGAGGAACCCGAAGAGGAGGTGGTGGGGCAAACGGTCAAAGAGGAAGAAGTGGATTTAAGTCCATTCATCGCCAACATGGAATTGACAAAGGAGGTAATTGAAAAAACTTTTTTCTGATATTTTTAGCATTTGAAAAATTGGATTCGGGGGAAATGAATTAAAAATATATCGATCGATGTCATAAATATCCTTTAGAAAATATTTGATGTATTCTTTATATCATTCAAAATATTGCGGCTCTGAACATTTGTCAGAGAATATTTTATAAAATCCACGTTTGTAGTTGACAGAGCTATGAACATCCAAATTTTTAGCACTAAATATCCTTACAGAAAATATTTAATAAAAATTCTGAATATTATCAAAAAATATTTTATAACAATCTACATTCATAGCTCTTAATATCCTTGCAGAAAACATTTTGTAAAAATCAAAAAAATATATATTATTGCTTCGTCAACGAAAAGTCCATCTTAAAATTTTAAATTCGTTCCAACAGTTCGTGTTAGCCTTTTTAATAGTCAAAATGCAAAATTTGTTCAGTTTGACAAACACTTTTTTAATCAAAACTATACATCGTACTAAATTTTCAGTCTTTCAAGGTATTATATTTTTTCCTTTTACGGAAAAATAATAGGAAAATGTTTACCTTTTTCACCAAAAAGTCTTTCAATTTGAAGTTTACCGAGGAGGATATTTGTAAAACTATTGCACAATGGACCCACATCTAATTTTTCTGTCCAAAACTATTTCGACGTCTTCATATGTAAACCCTCGAAACCAACAGTAACTCTAATATCAAATTTTAGGATTTTAACTCTATTCCTTCACCAATGCCAAATTTAGTAACATTTAATGCGAATATCCAAAATAATCTACGTCTTTCCATCTAGACAACAACAGTAATCCAAAACCACTCCTAGATCCCAACACCAGATGCCAACAAAGACTTTATTACCAAATTTCGATTCCAGTTCTATCCCTTCATTCAATACCCAATTTAGTACCACTTAGTACTTTTTGAATAAATTTAATACACATATCCAAAACCGCCCCTATACCTTAACCACAGACACCAACAGTGACACTTATATCAAATTTGGGGTTTTAAGCCCTATCGGTTTACACAAATTCAAATTGTACTAAATTTAATATATAAAAGTACGGATTTCCAAAATTTACTACATACCCCAATTCTACACTACAAATGTCCAAAACTACCTTCAAAATACTAAATTTAGTGCACATGAATACGAATTTCCTGCATACCTCAATCGTACAATCCCATAGCAATCATATTTCCAAATTTCAGAATTCCAGATGCATCGATTGACCACAATTCCGATTTTTACCAAATTTAGTACAATTTAGTACATATAAGTACGAATTTCCAAAACATCCTACATACCAAAATTTCAACATTCCAGCTCTATCGGTTCACTCAAATCGAAATTGTACCAAATTTGGTACACTTAGTACTTTTCCTGCACATGAGTAAAAACGTCGAAAACTCAGCTAGTAATATAAATTTCAAATTTCAGAATTCCAGCTTCATCCGTTCCTCCAAATTCAAATTGTACCGAATTAAGTACCGTTTGGTTCCCATTCCAAATTTCAATTTCTTAGCTCTAACCGTTCACATAATTCGAAATGGTACCAATTTTAGTCGATTTTAGTACTTTTCGTACAATGATAGTGCGAATTTCCAAAAACCATTTGGTATATCCATCATACACTCCATCAGTAGCCGTCATTCTAAACTTAAAAGTTTTAGCTATTTAATACTTTTCCTACCGTTCTAGTACAAATTTTCAAAAACCCAGCCTTGTTAGACATCTTCGGACCAAGAGAGACCCTCACCCAAAATTTCATGATTCTAGCTTCAGCCGTATTGGCGTAACATATACTAAGAACTCAAAATAATAAAATTTGAAAAATGAAATGCATGGTGAGATAAAAAAACTGCAAAAAAGTCAATCGGCATAATTTTATTTTTTTTTTTTTTAATTTTATTGAATAAAAGCAAAAAATGTCGGAAATAGCATCAAATTTTAGAATAAGTATAGTTTTCTTCGAATTGGTCGCCTTTGGCACGAATTATGGCTTTCAAACGGCCAATGAAACCGTCACACGCTGCTCGAATGATGCTCTGCGGTATTTGGGCCCATTTCCGGAGAATCGCTTGCTTGAGGTGATCGACACTTTGGTATTTTTTAGTGCCAACCTTGCTTTCCAAAATACTCCAGACACAATAGTCCAACGGATTGGTATCCGGAGATTTTGGTGACCTTTGTGCGCTGGAAATGAAGCGAGGAACCTTATTTAATAACCATTCTTGGTTGGCGCGTGCTGAGTGAGGTGGTGCTGAGTCCTGTTAGAATATCTAAGGTCTGCGGCTAAAATGTTTGCGTGCCCAAGGCTTTAATACAATCTCCAAAATATTTTCGGGATAATATTCGGCATTCATTGTGATGCCACAGTCGATTAATACGAGCGGAGAGCGACCATCGGCTGTTATGGCGGCCCACACCATCACCATGGCCGGCGCTTGAGTTCTGGTTGCCAACCGAAGGTGCACATTTTCAGCTGACCTCCTTGGCAAGTAAACACGATAATTTTGTTTGTTTACAAACTGCTGGACAACGAATGTTTTCTCATCGGAGAAAACGGCAGTTCATCACTTTCGGCCCAGCGAAGCAACTCTTTAGCTATTTTGAGTCTATTTTCTTTCCGTTGCAATGTTAGTTCTTGCACTTTTTATGCCCTCCACCATAGTATGGAGGGAATATTAAGTTTGTCATTCCTCGAATATACATTTTAGACCCCACACCTCGAAATATACATTTAAGCTTGATCAGCATAAAATTCTATGTCGATTTAGCCATTTGCGTCCGTCTGTGGAAATCACTCTAGCTTCCGAACGAAATGAAGTATGTAAAAATTTACTCAAATGTGTATTATGTTTGCAGGACTTTTGGTATTGAAAATGGACCATGTAAGTCCACGTCTTCCTAAAGCCCCCATATAACAGTACCTCCCGATATTCGGTATTTTGATGATTTAAGCGACATTATTTACCGGAATTGTTTCAAATTCCGCATTTGAAGTTCGTAATGGATACTACATCCTATGACAGAAAATTGTCTGTGCAGGTCCAAGTCTTCGTGTTGCCCCCATATAACGGTACCCCCGATATTCGGTATTTTGATGATTTTAGCGATATTATGAACCGGAATTATTTCAAATTTTGTATTTGAAGTTCGTAATGGATACTACAGCCTATGTCAGAAAATTGTATGTGAAGGTCCACGTTTTATAAGCTCCATGGTACCTCCCTATATTCGGTATTTTGATGATTTTAGCTACATTATAAACACATTTTTTTCAAGTTTCGCATTTGTATATTGTAATAGCTTATGACAAAAGTTGCCTATGCACGTCGTCGTATAGACCCTAATGCTGGAGGGAGTGTATACAAAGTTCGGCCCGGCCAAACTTACAGCTTTTTTACTTGTTGGAAAATCAATGGCTTTACGGCGAGCACATTTTTCAATATTTGCCGAATTGAATATTTTGATATGTTCAGCTCACGAGCCATTGTTCGGCTACTGCGACGCGGGTTTCAGTCAAGTCCGTCATTGCTTTTCGAACAATTTCACACTATCATGCTTGAATTCCATCACGAATAACAATTTTTCTGGAAAATTCTCACCAACATGCTTTTATACGCTCGTAAACAATATAATCAGCTGTCACTGGAATAATTTTAACAGCTGTCGGACGAGTGGCTTAGAAATGACAGCAGTCTGAAGTTGGTTGCAGTTTTTTTTTCATCTCACCCTGTATATAAATTCCTGTCGTTTAGGTAAGACTTAGACTTTTGTCGTATAGTAGAATCGTACAAAAAATTGTTTTATATAATATTTTGGCAGGCTACGACTAAATGTAGCTATTAATCATATTTTGCAAAAAGGAACAAAAATATCACTTTGCTGCTCGCTTAAAATTCTGACCCAAATAGTCCTTGTATTGTTATCTGTAATATTGCCGAACGCACTATACACCTAAAATCAACGGATTCCATGGAATCATAATAAGGAAATTACCAAAAGTGTGGATTGGAGGTAAACTTGCCTCCTCTATTTTGTTAGCTCCACTTTCATAATCTGCTGGATTTTCCCGTAATTATTTTTCCTGTTGCACAGTGTAATAATTAATGACCATGTGTACAAATTTATGCAATTTGGTCGGCTATGTTAGCAAAATGTTTTCACTGCAAAAAAATGAAAATTTACAAAAAAAGTATAGCATAGGCATAACAAATTTGAAATGAAAATTTTGTTTGCTGTTGAACAAACATCTTAAACTGGATGATATTGAGTGGATGAATGATTTTGTTTTTTTTTTTCGCTACTATTCGCTCAAAAGATGTTTCATGGTTTTATTTTTTTTTTTCTGTTCAAAAGTCATTTGTTATTGCTAATAGCTGCTAGCTAATAAAGTCTCCTTTAGCAGAGCGTGCATGTGAGTGTGTATCTCTAAATTTATAAATTGATATGTATGTTTTATTTTTAAAAAATGCATTTTTGTTATATTGCAGTATGATGATGACCTCGATTGTTATGGTTTGTTGGTTGGTGGTTGTTGTCTGTGTGTATTTTCAATATGAATTCAATATAATTTGATCCAAAATGTTTTCTGAACAAATACATGAATACCGACGACATCCGTGTATAATTTTGTGATTTTCACACAATTGCAGTTCTTTTTTTGTTTATGATGCAATTTCAGGTTGATTCGATTCGATGCGATCATTTAACCATATTTGTCAACACTCACTCCACTTTAATCATCAATGGCCGTTGTTGATTGTTTTCGCTGAGTTGCATTTGATGACAGGTGAGGTAGGGAGGGAGGGGGTGATCAGATAATCGATAGCAATTATGAGTCAGGTGCACTACACTTTGTTGTGAGACCACAGGTTGTTTTCACTAATACTGTTCAAAATTTCAATAAAAGATTTTTCGAATTTTTTTATGTGGTCACAAATAGGCGTATATATGTTTGTATATAGCTTGAGGTAGCCAGAACTT